CTAAACATACAAATACTAAAGAAACTTTTCCAACAACTTTCTGAGTAAAAACAGGTGTCCTAAGTTGTTTAACCAATCCATTACAAGTTACTGAACAAAAGAGGACAGTGTCGGTAAATGAAACACGGAGTTGTTAATTTCTCATTTACTTTGGGAATTATATTATGTACCTACTTATAATAAGTATGTTGTTTTGTTATATAACACTATGAAAATCCTTTTATTCGTACTATAAGGATTAGGCATGACATAGGTAAGTATTATAGATAGAAAGAAAGAAAGAAAGAAAGAAAGAAAAAAAAAGAAAGAAAGAAAGAAAAAAGAAAGAAAGAAAGAATTAAAAATTGTTTATTTGCACACACCGTCACAAAGTACAACACAGGTAGTCTATTAATTTATTCATCAATTACGTCATGTTGTTGACTGCCTCGTTGGTCGAGTGGGCACAATTGCGATTGCTGGGCAAGGGATCTCGGTTTCGAATCCCGGGTGTACTAAAGTATCACTGGGTTTTTTTTTAATCTAAATACTAGCAGCGTAATCTGAAGTTCTGCAGTATATGACAATTAGCTCACCTTCTATTACGTGGGACTCATAACATAAATTGTGAAAAATTGTACAGTGGGATAAAGTGCCGTAATGTGCACCTCTGAGTAACTTCGGGGATAAAAGGCGTGATGTTATGTTATGTCTTATGTTGCTACGCCGTATACCGCGTTGCTACGAGGCTACTACATACATGTTGCTACGAAAATTATCTAAATAACGAAATATCTCACAATAACTTCTTTACCGAGACTCATTGTGCCACGTTAGCGCTTCTAGAATGTCCACCTATGTATCATGCAAAGCCGAACCCGAAAATCTAATTAAAATCTCTTTACTGAAATTCATGACCGAAGTTCTACAATTTTAAAATAGGCTATAGGTAACGTCTCGCCATCAAAACACCGGATACTACGAATAAACGTTTTAATGGTTTTATTACGTTACTACCAAGTGTTGAAGGTCTTGGTACTAAATTAGACCAAAATAAAGAAGTTTTAATTAGAATATTCAAACCAGCCAAGAACTTAGAACTTACTATTTTTACGTCCTCCTTTTGTGACTGGCGATGACTTAAGTACCTATGTATTGGGTATTTATTTATTTAACATCTTCGATAATACCTTCTTCTAGTTTCCTAATAGAAGTATAATTATTCCTTTACTAGTCCACTTACTAGTTACCATTGTTTTCATAGTAGTAGGTAGTTAAAAAGGTCTCTGTTTATTGCTGAAAAAAAATATCTATAATCGAACGTGTTGATTCCTGGAATTTAGAATTGGATTCCCTGTATCTTGTTCTTCTTATTTTAAAACTAGTGATAAAAGCAAACACCGTACACAAAACCACACAAACTTTCGTATTTATAATATTAGTAAGAAGATCATTTATATATATTTAAAATCATTAGTTTCTGAAGAATCAATAAGTACTAGATTATCCTTTGTTTTTTTTTTTAGGGGGAAATCATCTAATGTCTTCTCCCGCCTTGGGTTGGCGAGAGGGAGTGTCTGACTCTGACTGACAAAAAAAATAGTTTTGCTATCTCTTTATTATCATGATGATTTCGATGGAAGTTGGTATGAGACGTCATCGCACATTAAAAGTGAAGCTATTTGCCCATTCCAAGGTGTAAATTTCCATGGAGTACAACGAGGAAGAAACTCCATAGCTTACTCTTTTTCCATTAGGTTGACAACAAAATTATTCATTTCCATAGAAACATCGTGATAAAAACACCGACTTATCTATGGATTCCAAATAAATGACTATCGTAGATTCTAACAGCTATCGACGATAGCATTTTATTTGGCCCCCTGAATGAAACAGATCATCTAAAATCAATCTGCTATTGGGTACTTTATACACCTACGAATGTTTCGTCACCATTTGTATTCATGACATTGTATTACACAGGATCACGTCCTCGCTACGAAATTATAACGTTCTCATCAATTTCAAATTGACAGGTAGACTGGGATTCATAATAATAGTAGTGGCTGAAGATTTGTTTGAGTAGGTACCTATTATCTCGAAAAACATCAGGGGGCTTACTCTTGAATCCAATTCTGATCGATCGACATTTATATTGTGAAATTTCAATTTCGTACTCTTGAGTTGCAACACTAGCTCCCATCGCGTTCGTATTGTGTGCATATTTAATGAACTTGTTTGGCTTTATACCTATTCCGTAATCTGAAAGCTATTATGGGGGTTATATAGGTTTAAAATTGAATAATTATTGAGATTTTATTGCATTGAAATTGCATTGAGATTGGTTTCAAGAGTAAGCACCCTGATCTCTAAAATACCCTGATCATAATTATTATCCTACTCTTTGTTTTTTAATGATCGCAGGGGTGTACATATTAAATTTAATATCCACTCTTCGACTACTTATACTATTGCTGTTGATTGATACATTGTGTACAATACTGTGATACTGCACTATGTATCACAGTATACACAGTGTCCTGTGTATATACACAGCAGTTCATATGCACAGGGCACAATTCCAGGCGTTGAGTGATTAATAAGAAATTTTCGAAAAACTGAATAAAATTCCTTAACAGCCTAACTAAAGGTTAGGACCAGGTAATGAGGTAGTGTCTAAATGTAGTCAGGCCACCTAATTAAGGAGGTAGGTACAAAGTTTCGCAACAAAGTGATTTTCTTAATAACATAACATAACATGTTATTGAGTGATTTTCTTAATAACATAACATAACAAGTTATTGAGTGATTTTCTTAATAACATAACATGTTACCTATTAAGAAAATCACTTTGTTGCGAAAGTGATTTTCTTAATGTACCTACAGACAAAATAGATTCATGAGTTACATAACACATGTATCAAAGAACGTCCGATTTAAAATGTAGGTAGTGGTCTGTGGTTTTGGGACTTCCTCAGAAATTCAGTACCTACGTACTTATATTTAAGAAAATATAAGTAGGTGTCTTTCTTAAACTGTCTGTCGTAAAAGTGATTCTGTTTATTTTAGTGTTGGTCTAGTTTCGCATGAATAATTTGTGAGTAGGCTGTGCCTAAAGCGATATGACCGTATCTTTAAGAAAACTTCTGAGAAATTCCTATTTTTAGCTTATGTAGGCCGTGGCTATCTTTGTTATAGTTTTGGACAATTTCAGAGTAAATAGATTGTTTTATTTATATTAATTTTGTTATTTATAGATGTATTTATTTATTATGAGAGACAGTACTTAGAATTGAAGTTCGTAGCAAATCTGATCTTTTAACGCCTTACTGTACCTTGACGTGTCGTGACTATTTGATGAAAGGTTGCATCATGACCTACTGATATTCAGTCAACTCCTAGGTCAATCCCGAGTCTGTAACTTGGTCGGTAACTGAACAAATGAAAATTTTCCACTTCTGCATATAAGCAGTCAACGCCTACTGTATCGGCCCTGCATCGCACGGTTCACGTGAAAGTTAATAGGTATGGTGCGGCCTACGCTCAGCAGTGAACGGTGCGTGACTGATATAACGATGATATCCATATATTCAGTACCTAAACAATCACACTCAGTATCTACACAGTTAAGTTGATGCTTAGTTATGCCCGATGATACACATTAGGCACAACTAAGCATTTCCAAATCCATAAGCACTTCTTAATTGGTTTACCTAACTTCTGAATCGCACCCAAGACTCATTTTTAGGCTGTTTTAAATACAACGATTTTCTACAGTATGATTTGAATTAGGGAATCTTTTAATGTTTTAAAAAGAAATTAGGTATACTTTTTACACGATCGCTCGTAGCGTGAACCGTGACTAGTGAACAGATAAGTGGACTAGTTCAATACGAAGTAGATACAAACTTTATTCAATTTGAGACTTATAAGCGACTGTCTATACAATAAGGGCAGGGGCCCGTGCCTAGGGTCCCCATCCTAGAGGACCCCGAAGGACCGACAATTTCTACGACGGCCACTCACTCGCTACACGTTGCGCGCCAAATTCTTATGTGTTCCACAAATTGTTTCAGGTCTGGGTATCATGTGTATGTGAACTTGTATATTTGTAAATGTACCCACGATACTGGACAACATCCTAGTGTGGGTTGCCCCTCAAAATAAAAATCTCCCAAAACCTAATCATTATGTGCCCTTGCCCATTAAGTAGGTACAGGTTCAAAACTACTACGAAGCATTCATTGTTCAAGTTTTTACAAAGAAGTTTCGATTTTTAAATCAAATAAACAATCACTAGGGGCATTTATGATGTTCTTTTTCCTGGCACTTGGCACGGAGTCTAAAGTTTACCCTCCATCCCTATAGGACTCATACCATAATTTGTGGAAATTGGATGTTACACTGTATTTTTTATGGTAAGCCGGTAAACGAGCACACAGATCACCTGATGGTAAGCAATTGACACCTGAAACACAAGAGGCGTTACAAGTGCATTACCGGCCTTTTGGGGATTTGGAGTTTGAGAATTAGGCCTCTGGTGACCTCACTCACATGACAAAACACAACGCTAGCGTTGCTACACATCATTTTTCTGTGAGGCCGTGGTATCACTCCGGTCGAGCCGGCCCATTCGTGCCGAAGCATGTCTCTCCCACACTTATACGTTATTCCCAAACTGTATAATGTTATATTGCACCTCTGTCTACCTCTTCGGAGATTAAAAGGCTGGTGTTATGTTTTATGTTATATTACACACGTTCTTATACCTATATACAGGGAAGGTGTGATTATTTGTGTGTGTGGTTTCTAATTATAGGTAAGTTTGAAATCGCCAACCCGCATTGAGCAAGCGTGATGATTAATGCTCAAACCTTATCCGTGTTAGAAGAGGCCTTTGGTCAGCAGTAGCTACTTATAGGCCGTTGATGTGATAGGGAAGGTAATAAAATAATACGAAAGAACAGAAATAAAAGACCTTCGATTAATGAAACAAATATATTTCATTATGAAATTAATTACCAACAAATCCATTTTCAACACGTTTTCAAACCATTTTCAATATGATAGGGAAATGTGCCTTTTTTATAAGTGCCAAATATTCATTTAATATGCGTTACAAGTGCAGCTTCTGTTAACATGAATGAGATCATTGCAATATTTAACAACATAAAGCGGGCGACGCGACACGACACGACGCGACTAGTCGCCCAACACATCACCAGAAGCCACACTTGCACCGCTAAAAATTTTACGCCTAATGGTAACACTACAACACACATATTTATTGCACATTTAGAAATTTCGTAAAGTGTTTTTGTCTTTTTTTTACTTATTTTTAGAGATCCAAGACATTTACTATATAATTTTGCACATCGATATTAAAATGAAATAATATACACAATAGCATTTAAATTTAGACTGTGGTATAATACACATCCAAAATATGGAACTATGCCTAAGTTAGTTTGGACAATGGACAAGATATTATAAATTAAATGGACTATTTTATAGACGAATAGTCATATTGCAAAATAAAAATCTTGAAAACAAGTAATAGTTAATCACGATAAAAATATAAAACGATCTGTATAACAATAATAATTATCTCAAGTATACAAGTAAAAAAAATATATTATGTAACAGTATGTATGTACTATCAACTAGGTTTTGAATAAACTGACCCAAGACATAAATTAATCTGTCAACAAAAACCGTTCGTCGAAGGAATACATAGAATATTGACTTATAGAATATATTCACATCTAGTGCCCGCCAGTGGAACACGCTACAACATCTGGAAGTAATATCTCAAAAAGAAACCATTAAACGCTTTCTTTGTCCGGCTCTTCTTACTTAACACGTAAGAAAGTTATGTTATTATATACATACAATTTATTTTAATAAGGCCATAAAACAATTTACTCATAATATTCCAGTATCGTTTGAGAGCCAATACTTCTGACCAGCCAAAACCTAATGAAAATTTACTAACTAGCATTCTCTGCATTACGTTTAAATACATTAACGATCTCGCCTTATTATGAAAGGTAATAAGACTTGGACGTATTTATAAGAAATAATTAATTAAAAAACCTACAATTGTTTAAAACTTGCACCGCCACGTCGATGGCATTTGGTCGACTTAAATCTCATAGAAATAAATTAAAAAGTGAAAGATACAAATATTAAAATTGTGGAATGGTTACACCATCGAAGTCTTACGAACACAATTCCTAACATTATGGATACTTTGGTTTCTAAGAGACACATTCGACCAACCACATGACACCTTTAAAATACTGGATAAAATAAATCCTTATGTAGGTAATTACCTAAACCAAATTATTGCTGATGTGGGTATATCATAGTGTAATGTGTCTATATTTATTACCTATGGAAGCTTCAATAAATAAAATGTCTCTGAAGAACAGTTTCTATCACATATCATTACACATTGTAGCACCACGCGTTTAATAGACCCATCTACATATGTCTACACTTACCTCTATTCATTGTTGTATATGGAGATGTATAAAAATCAATACATCTGAAAAATAATTTAAGATTGGTATATAAAAGATTCTGTATAATTATGTTTAAAAATTAAATAAACTCTCTTATTGTTTTATGTCGTAAGCTATTGAGACTGTGTTTTGGCTTGTTAAACATTTTTAAATCAACACCTATTTATTAATATTAGATACTTATTGACTGTGAAACTTCTGGCCTACTTTACTTCTACCCGAAAATCAGTCTATCTACATTCGATCGTCGCGTCGTTGGCTGTTCTAGAGAGGCGGTTGTTGTACCGTCCGCTCGTTCGTTGCTTCCTCGTAAAATAATATCACATTCGTCGCATTCCCGCACAACGTTCCCAGCTACTCGGTCCTACAAGTTGTCATTATTGCGTGTGGTGACAAGTGTCGCGAACGACGCAGCCTCGGGGTGGCTCGTACAGTCGTACTACGCTTCCTTGTAACTGCCTCACAAATAAAGCTCGGTACAGACAGAGAGACGTGACCGCTTGCTTCATAAATAACTAAACCCACCAGATAACTTGAGCTACACAATAACGTTACTATGTTATTTAAATTCTCCTATTGCAGTACGTAAACATGTAAAGACTTGTAATAAATAGTCGTTGTATCAGTATTTTATAACCATTATCCTATAGTATCTATTGCAACAATATGGTCAAATAATAAATATATAATGGAACAATTAGAAATTTGACACTACAATGCCATCAGTCGGTGAAAATAATGAACCAAGACACACAATATTTAGTGGACGGAGATAATATATAAAACGTTTTAAAAAGTGTCAAAATTGTGCGTCACTGTAACACTGTAACACTGCACGTTCTTACATTATTCCACACTGGCGCAATCTTACTTCTCTATTCTCCCTTCATGGAAGTTCTCCTAAGATGAAGACTATTAAAAAGTAGTACAATAAATAATGCCCGTTAACCTCACAGTCGACGATAAAATAGGTATAATGAAAATGTTCAAAAATATTATATGCCCACTTCTTATACCAGAACTGAAGACATGGTACACCTTCAACTCATAATGGTAAAATGTTCTCGTTTGAAATTCTTTACAGTTCTTAAAGAAACGAAAAATCACTTAAATTCTAATTTATCACATTTGACCTGGTTAGCACATGCATATTTACATAACGTTTGCTGTGCTCACTATATTTTTAGAATCTGATTTAAAATTAAATTATCTAATATATATTAGAGTTAAAATGTATGTTACAAGAACAGATATAAAGAATACCACACCAATTTAACACTACGAGAATTCAAAATAATGAACCACTCAAAGTAAGTGCGACATCATGGAACATGGAACAACTTTATTTAAATTTAAACTGGCCATTGACACACAGCGGACATAGACACAATACTAACATTAAATACTTTGAGTGGTTTATGACCTTAAACCTATAAGACACTAAATTACACCACAACATCAAGTAACTACCGCTGATATACTTATAAAAACAGTCAACATCAATTTTGAATAATATTTTATATTTTAAATTTGAAGTAATGGCAAAATATCTACATTATACACAATGTGAATGCATTACATTGTTATATTTTATAGAATTGTATAAACTTGTCGAGAGTGAATACGAAAACTGGCTGGGAAACTCTATGGATGGCAATGTTCATACACTTGTGGCTAACCAGCCATGTATTATAAAAATCGAGCTATGTCAATAAAATGGGTTAGTCGAGTCTCCGTATTCGCTCCTCTAGCAATTAGAGTATTCTGTAGTAAAAATAAAAATTCAGAGTATTGCTTCTCGTTTATACTAAAAGTTTTCGACTACCTATCTTATTTATTATATCCCTCTGGCAAAGTCACTATTATATTTTAATACGTTATTTAACTGTATCATGTATAACAATGAACAAATAAAACTATAAAAAAATCTTTAAAATTCACATTTAAAACCGGCTTATGTTAAAAGTACTAACTAAATCAATTATTCTATATTAAAATGTTTCGTTTAACATTAATCCTGTACCTGATTATTTCGTTGCATTGACTTCTTATATAACAGTGGTATATATAGGCAATCTATGGACACAATACATTTCAACTGTTAAAATAAGTTGAGAACATTCGCCCGCAGAGTTACTCAATAAAAATATTGTGACTATATGGTACAGAAGGCAGCAAGTCAACTGACTCTAATTTATCAAATTTCTCCAATAGACTTTCGACTTTATTGCAAAACTATAAAGTCGGAAAGGAATTTCATAAATTGGTGAAGGTTGACCTTCTGACACCTGTGTATAAACAGCATTTGACTTATCCTAGACTTAATTGACAGTATCATTATAGGCTCATTTCCAGACCGATTCATATGAATGAATGATTTAACTATTTTTAAAGAATAAAGCTCTTAGTTGTACATTAATTAAAATATGAGGTTTTATTTATATTGAAAATGTTTAAAATATTTCTGATTGTTGTTTTGAATTTGAATTGCTTCAAAAACAGAGCAACTATCAAAATGTTCTTGTAAAACTTTAAAAGGAAATATATAGTATTGTTACGGAGTTTACTATGTCAAATCAAATATCAAATAATCAAATATCGATTGACCGAACACTAAAAGTCCAACAGTAAATGAATCGATTGTTTAAAATATCGAATGTTTATTTAATGGAGCGTTCCAAAGGTCGCTTGTCAATTATATCGATATATCATATTCGATTATTTGATATGACAAACTACACCCCTTTTTGCATATTTATAACACTCATAATGTATTAAAATATTAAAACTATCATTAACTATTATTTTAATATATGAAGGATGAAACCCTTTATGGGTAAAAGTTGTGGATGTCTTATATAAAAGAGACTAAAAGACGGACAAGTTAAAATTGATAAAATTACTTTACAGAAAAAATAATTTTCTTGTATAAATATTCCTGTGAATAATCAACTCTTAGAAGTCATAAAATATCGATATAAATATATTGTAATTCTTTCTTTAAGTAAGGACGCATTTCTTTACTGCGGGCGAATATTTCCAACTGAATAAAATCCATAGACATTATAATCTAACCTTTAGGCTTATAGAATTCTGCAGCAGACTGAGCAATCAGTTTGTCTATTAGGTTCAATTTACATTGCAGCGAGACGAAACGAACATTGTATTGCAACCAAACTGTACATGGGATAATGAGCTATATGTCATTACAATAAAGTATTAAAGAGGTTTGAGCCAAAGATATTTAAGAGAGCTCTTGCTAATATCGCGCACTATTGGTGGAATATTGTGTTAAACCACTACAACAACTGTCATAAAACTCAATATGCCTTGCACAATTGTCATACGTGCGCCTTTCCATTTCATTCTGTACCAATGCAAATTGAACCTTATTACTATATATCATGTAATTGAATATCGCAGTGGTATTCTGTACTGTAACATCAAATCTAAAACAAAATGTGTACAAACAATTATTGACAATTAATTTATCTACTTCAGTGTTTACTTTTATGAGGTACATATTTTGGCACAGAGAGATTTCTTAAAACTATAGTTATTTAATACGTAGGTATATTAATTGTTAGATAATGTTATTTTAAATTACATAAAACATTTTTCGATGTTCTAAAACTTGTTTGACTGGTCTTAATCGTACGAATCACAGTTTTTGCATTCTCCTAATAACCTATCGTCACGACTACCAATTTTCTAGTTCCTCTTTAATGGAATGAGTTATTTAAAATCTTATTATACATAGGCATACAAAAATATGGCAAAAGAAACTATGTTTAAGCCTATTCAAACGCAAGATGATGTGTCAAGTTGTTGCATGCCCTTGTTCCGAGTGACAACTTATTCACTGTTGGTTGGACTGACACTGTCGGTAGCTTGACAAACATAGAGGTGTGTAGTCAAATGCTCGTATTCATGCAAGCGGGTACTGCCTAGTCCCTCATCTTAAAACAAATGCGCTGCATCGCATAACTAAGTTACACAAAACGACTGCTAACCATATGACGACTTGATGAGAGACAAGCAAACGGATGCATTTATAATGCAAATCTCTTACGTTAATGGATTCAAATGTGCACGAACTTATAAACAACTAATATTGCCCTGAACTGACCAATCAAAGTAGCAAGCAGTTTGTCCAAGCCATGTGTTTAACACAAAATATATTTGCAGCATAAACTAATAAGCCGTTATAATTATTATTGCTTCGCGGTAAACGCAAATAGTTACCATTCACTATTTATTTTCAGAGTTATTTTGAAAATTATGTCGTAAATATACATAAACCACTCCAAAACGAAAAATAGTCCTGTAAAATTCTAATTAAACCTGCTTATCAATAATGTTGTAAAGTTTAAAAACGTTTTTAAAAAATATTCCCATTTACTGTTATAATATGACTCGGTCATTAACTATAGGGGCACAATGTAACTACCGACTCCATACAGCAGTCCATCGCGCGGCTAGTGACGGGCCCCTGGAATATGCACAGGGGCAGCGCACGACACCAATAATAATAAATTAAAATAATTCTCAATATCAAATAGTCGCAACTTCGTACGAAACCAGAACGCGCCAGCCTATATGTGACCCGAGCAGTCAGGATGAGACATCAGCCCCGACCATTTCATCCCGCAAACCCGGCACGATCAATCTGCATAGTTGATGGCAAACCGTATGGAGTTAAGTTATATTGTGCCAGAGGTATGCGAAGATCGAGAAAAGGACGGCGCGTTCGTAGATCAGCGTGTATTGTGAACGTGTGTGGTGAGGTGCTTGGAGAGGTAGTCGGCGCGCGCGAAGCACTTGCCACACGCCTCGCAGTGGTAGGGTCGCTCGCCCGTGTGGATGCGCAGGTGCCGCGTCAGGTCGCTCTTACCGCCGAACGCACGCCCGCAGAACAGGCACACGAACGGACGCTCGCCTGTGTGCTTCCTCACGTGCAGCTTCAGGTTCTCTTTAGACCTTACGCATTTCCCACAGAATGGGCAAGCGAACCTCCTCTCCCTATCCCTCTGTCGGTCATCAGTTTGCATGAAACTCAGGATCCCTGAGTGTGAGCTCGAGCTCTCATGTTTGCTACTGTCCGCTCGCGACTCGTTCTCTGAACTATCTGCCATCGAGCTAATGCTGGCGAAAGACACAGGAATTCGCCTTTTTTCCTCAGATGCAGTGTCTTCATCCCGTTTGGTTTCGCTTTCAGCACCAGACGTACGGCATTCTGTTGAATCATCTACGGTCACCACAGAATCTGTGGGGCCATTTGAGTCGACAGTGCTGTCCTGTTCAGCATCCCGGACTACATCCTCAGCAGGTGACTTAGTAGCATCACTTCTATTCTTTTTCTTCATGGAGAGATCCATTTCACCACACTGACCAATTAGAGCCTCGTTAGTACTGGAAACTTGATCGGCGCCTTCTGGTGCGTCAGTGTTTTTCGTGTGCAGTCTCTCCAGCGTGTGGTTGAGACGGTGCTTCTTAAATGATTTAAGATAGCGGAACTGCATGCCGCAGACGTCACATGTAAATAGTTTGTCGGCAGGTAGCCTAGCGCGATGGTTTTGTTCGCGATGTTTGACATAGGCGGAACGATACCTGTAGCTCTGGCCGCACTGCTCGCAGACGAAGGGTTTGTCGTCGCAGGGCGCTTGGGAGGCGTGCTGCAGGGCCGCGTGTCGCTCGAGTAGCCAGGCGGAGGGGAAGGACGCGAGGCAGACGCCGCAGCGGCGCCGCTCGGAGTGCAGCAGGTGACGGTTGTGGTACATCATGCAGTCGTCGCTGAGGTAGCGCCGCAGTCGGCACGCCTGCAGGGCCAGCAGGGGCGACCACAGCGGCAGCGCGGTGGGGCTGCGCGCTGGGATCGGGCTCGGTATGCTCGGGGACACGCAAGACATGTCCAGGCACATCTGGAATGTAACATGTACTCGTATTACAACAGATGATAATAATACAGAGATTGAAATCCAAGTAGAAATATAAAACAAATTTTATACCTGAGTAAATCCACAAAGCGGGGCGGAGACATCAATAAAAGAATAGGTGTGTAATGATTGTAGAGCTTTTATTTGTCAAAATTGTATTTTTACAGCTATGATATGCTTATATTTGTTTCAAGAGTTACAATGATCAACAGCGATGGGTCTCTGTTAAGATTGTTGCAAAATTGACAAAACATTACACCGTTTGATCCTTGATCCGTTCTGATATACTGTAACACTTTTTCAACAAAACTGTACTGCTCTTTGTTACAACATTATGAACTATTAATAATGTTAAGGCAAAACAGATTTTCTCTAATCTAAAATGTCAACAATGTATGTTAAATAAAAGAGCTTCAGGGAAAAACAATTACCGTTTCAATGACAATGAAACGACAACTATATTAAGCTCTATAAATAAAGTGGACCTACATTATTTGAACTTGTGCTGAACATATTCCATACCAGCATAATATACGAACATTACACTATACCTAAAGAACTTCTATGACCAAAATGGAAACAGCAATGTAAAAATTTTCAATATTCTCTACGAAAACAGAAGCGTCTAAATCTAATCGTATATTATGCTAATACAAATATTAGTCACGAAAGTTTAACTCTAAATAATTTATAATAAACACATTATAATTATTAAAACAAATTGTACCGATATACAATAATTAATACACCTACAGGAACTTAGAAAAATTGCAATATAAGTTCTATATTTAGGTATGCCACTTAAATAAAATGGTAAGTTAAATAAACCAGTTCGCGCTGCAGCGACATCTAGCTCGATCGTGGTGGACGAAACTTAACAATACTATCTAACACTATACAACACGTGTGTACGTCTGTTCGACTGTACGTAACATTGGTCATGAACAAAATCTAGCACTGGCTGATCACATCACAAGATTGGAATGCGCTAGCTTGGAAACCACCGCCTCTACTCACGAGAACCGAACATAGACAGAAAGAGTACGCAAGTCACATATCATAACGCAACTTACAATTTTCACCATAAAAATTACAGTTTTCTCTATCTGCTACATACTCTATGTTTAATCCGTGATTTGCAGCCTTTATATAAGTCTTGTATAGGCAAGAGGCACTCTAAATATAAAACTGTGGTCACAATTTATGATAATATAAAAATGAATCTACGTCGTATCTATTTCAACACATGAAATATTTCGTGCTAGTGTTTCCTTAAACGTTATCATGCTCTGTAGGTACTTAGAAAGATACCTACGTAAATTTAAAATATAGATATATTAAGTTTATCATCAATATATATAATATCATCATAATATATATATATATATATAATTTATGTATAATTTATTTGTGCTAACGGCGTGTGAACTCTGCAGGGACGTGGCAACAACTGGCAAATGTTAAAATTTGAATAACTGCACTTGGGGGTTGTATAACCTATTGATCAAATACCTACTTTATATTTTACTAACAACATTCACCATCGCCTATATACACGTAAATACATACATATAAATCTATTTGAATATCATTACTTTAATAATAAATATTACCTCTGAAAGTTAGGAAACAAAATAGTATTTAAACTGCATTCTGTATTTATAAAAAACTATTTCGATAAAAACACGTACAAATTTGTTAATTCGCATCATTATTAACCATTTATTTATTGCTATTAAGTATTTCTGTAAATTGTAAATATTTAATCTTTCTTAAAATAAGAAGAGGAACATTAATCAAGGTTTCAATATTGCTATACAGTTTGGTAACGTTCGACTCTGATAAAACAAAAACGAGTGCAGCTTTTCAAATAGCAACATTCTGGTGATATTTTCTTATCTTTTTTTTATTGAATTTTATTCATTTCTCATCTCTAGCTCCGGAAAGTAGCGCATCTACCAATCTATTTATCTAAAATGCATTTTATATACTGTGTGAGTTTTAACAATAGACCAACATTAATTGTTTACTTTCCCAAGTTATTTTCATAGTAAATTCGCTAAACTTTACACAGGAGTATTCGAAATTATGTATTCAATATCCAAACAATCATATCATCGTTAATGAATGTTTAAATTTACTTAAACCGATGAAGATATAAATCGTGGAAACTTCTATAAACAAGGCAATAAATTGAAGAGAAACATTTATCAGGGTGGCCAAGTAAATTTAAACATTCATATATAAACCTCAGCGCTTAGTTACATAGAATTGACTGGTTTATGGAATGTAAATTATATTGGTAGTAATTTTTCAAATCACTTTGATCAATATAAGAGCACACATTCTCATCGACCGTGTTAATGAACAATCACATAATATTCGGAAATAAGTGAAACATTACCACGTGCTGGAAGAGCTTGCACTAACTCTACCACAATTGAATAACTAGTTATTTTAACATTCCATTCAAACGGAATAAACTTAGTTATAAACGATTTTGACATGCCCCGGTACTCGAGGAGAACACACTACATAATTTAGACATTTCTATATTAAATAGCTCATATAATTTACCTAAATTTGTATCGGTGGCATTCGCTATAAAGTAACCAAGTTGACACTGGAATAATTTTGGAATGTTAGGCGTTCGCAATCCAAATATGTATACAGAGTTAAAATAAGTACTTTAGATATACCAAAATTATATCAACCATAGCATACTGGCCTTAATTTCTACATGATGCCTAAACAACTTATAAATAGCAATGAGATCTGTTGCAGAATTTTTTGTTTCCTAATTTTAATCCTTTTCCCCGATATAACTTGCCCTTGCATTTTAAATTTAATATATTTTTTAATGTTGCTAGTTTTAATAAAATAATTGATGTTGCCATTTTATTTTAAGGCGCTAACTTTTATATATTGTCACAAAACAAGGAATTTAAAACATTAAATAATGCGTCGAGAGCAAGATCTCAATTGGCTGGCCTAAACTTCTAAATATTTTGAAATCACATCTTGAGATCGCATCATAAATTCCCAGATGTAATACCCTTACTTGTATTAGACATATATCACAGATCTTTTTCTATATTACCATAATACTTTCTTTTGAGTGAACCCAAAATTATGAATCACTAAATATCTAATTTACAATCAAAGATATTTAAACGCCTACATTCGAAACGAAACGTTTAAGTATAAAGAATATTTTAATATCCTACTTTTAAATATATAAATTTAAAATTTAAAAGTGTCACGACACCTATTATGTTCGTGAAATTTATATTATTTGTTTATAAAAATGATATGTCCCATGACCGAAAGATTATGAAATGATTAGGCAGTTTAGTCTATCTACTAGTACATTACATAAACCGTTTAGGTCGTTTAAGATAATGATATTATTTCTACCAAGAGTAGCATGCTCAAGCCAGAGTACCGTGGGCAGGTCAACAACTCTATATATGTATAAGTAATTTCCTATTGAACTTACACACTATTATGAGCCAACATCCAATCAGTTCCAAATCAAAGCTTTAAATTTCGGTTGTGATGTCGAACGGTGAAACATTGTATAACAAACAAATATTGACTATAAATTCTGAGCCCGAAAAATAATGGCTATGTCTAAAATCGTATTTGAACAAAAATATGGTGGTGTTGAAAAATAATTAAATCTTACGATCAATAAAATATCCCTGTATTTGACTCTGTTGAATTTATTGAACACAGCGATTATTGTGTGGAGTTTCAAACTCTGGGCACATGCGTTACGATCGAAACTTGACGTGAATGTCTGATTACAATTTAACTAACGAAGAAAGGGATAAATTCAGACGTTAAATTCTAAGTGCGGTGCTCTGATAACAAACGTCGATACGCAGGGTTTGAAACTGTTGAATAATCATAAATCAATGTGGTTTGCAGTATGAAAATAGATAGAAAATTTGATATATATATATTTATATGTTTATACCATGCCTCTTACGTGGTGTGCGCCGAGAAGTTTGTGAGTAACGGTCATTAAAATAAGGAAAGTCAACAGAGCGGGCACTCAGCAAGAGGCATAGTATTCGGACAGAACGGAAATAGCGCTTAAAGCTTTGATTCCCATGATCACATCCACAACCCTCCCCGTGTATACCGAATACAGAACTACCGAAGCGTTTACATTCTAATAAATTTCCTAAAAATCCAATATTATCAAACTATATGTTATTTACATTTATATGTCATAATATTGCTTTTGAATTACCTCAGGGGAGCGTGCGTCGTTAACTTCGAAAGACATAAAATTAGTAAAAATCTCAAATCCCTAACTTCTTAATTGTTACCAACTATGTTGAGTGCAATCTTCGTGTGGTCTCTAATAATTATAATTAAAGCACTCTTAATCAATCTTTAATTTTGTTTATAAAATCAACTCTGACAAGATACTACTATAATAAATATGCAAAGTCTCTAAACATTATGCCAGCTCTAAATTAATATGATATTTTACAATTTCTTTATTAAATTTCGATAATTTACGAAATTGCAACCAATAAAAACGACGTCGTAAAAACATTTTTGTACAAGCAAATTATACTAAAAAGCATTTGTTATATCTCGACTTGGAAAGTAAAATTAAAGGATTCATACTTCTCTAGCTAACTTTGGCTATGCCGTCTAATGACCCATCGTAAAATGAGTTTACGTTCTACTATAAACTAAAGCATAAAGAAAGCACCTAACGTTCAAAACTCTTAATAAAACGAAGCAAACAAAATTGGAACCGAAAATGTTCAAATAAATTTAACAAGTTATCAACTTTAGTGTCTCAATTATCTATTAGTGAAATATCAAATATTATTCATATCATTCAGATCACAGTTGCGGCGTTTTAATCACATTCTTAACTAATTACAACATATTGTCCTCCATTTGTTCATTCAACTATCACTTCTGCTCACCATTGACTATTTCCAATAATAGTTTGTATTAGTGGCTAATATATCGTGGAAGGTTAATTGTGCACTATGGGGGAGCCAGACTCATTGATGCGGGCTTTCTTCCTCCGTGTCGACGGGACTCGGCGAGAGAAACTTGCGAGCGTACTTTGGATAATGTGTCTTCTCGTGGGCTTTCAGAATAGTCGACCGCGAAAACGTCTTGCCACAGAGTCCGCAACGAAACGGCCGTTCACCTGTAATACGTATCACAATACAGTTACTCAAAAAACTCCTCAACATCATTAAAATTAATTGAGTAAAAAATATTTATCAAAAATACCTGATGAAAATATTGTAGCAAAAAAATGCAATTATGAATTGAACAGTAATTTTGTAGAATACGTGTCTGCATTTTCTATTTATCTAGTTACTAAGACTTCTATGTAAGATATCTAACGAAGTCTAAATTACAAAAATAAATATAGCTAAGAAAATTATAAGGTAATAGGAAAGAGCAATAGAAAACGTTGCTTACCTGTGTGAACTCTACAGTGATCCTTCATATGATGCCTTAGTTTAAACGCCTTTCCACAAAATTCACACTTGAACGGCCGGTCGCCCGTGTGCACAGGTAAATGTGTTATTAAAGATGACACGTCCGGAAAACTCTTCCCACAAAACTTGCATAGCACAACGTTGCCCGGCTCCACCGCTCCTATGTCCAACTCGATTGGAGACTCTTCTGCGTGCATACTCATGTAAGTGGGGTCACTGAACTGCCCTATCATGGGCAAGCCGAGAGGCCTGCCCAGCAGCGCGTCGCGGTACTTCAGCGTGTCAAGCGTATGCGTCGTCAGAATGTGCCTCGTCAGTTTGCTCTGATGCGGGAACGCCGCCCCGCAGTGTATGCAAGGATACCCCCTCTCCCCTTCATCAATTCGCCCCCTACCGGACCCATCGTACTCCTGCAACCACAAAAAAGAACATCAACTTCTTTTTTCTTGTTCCATTTTACACGGACCAAACTGTGTGCAATATCTCTACCACTACTTTCTAAATTGAGATGCAGTCTCGGTATATTTTTAATTTCCACTATCTAATTAAGAAGTTGACGCTCATTTTTGCCCAAAAAATGTGCAGGAGTGACCCGGGAGCCGGCTACGCGTAATGCCTTGTTGTTTAGCAACGCGCACGCGTACTGAATCACAGATTCGTACAATAACGTATGCATGTAATATGGCCAAAATTTAAAATAAAAAAAACTGCCCAAAATATATATCAAACAAAATGAATGGATATAAAAATGATGGCCAACAAAATGAAGGTCAACTTCTTGACAGCAAGGCATAATACTCGATGTTGAAAGTAGCGCAGCATATCAAACAAGCATGCGTGTAACAAATCAATTTTACACATAAAACACCAATAGCCAAATTAAACATTAGCTCTTAGAGCAGGGTTCTTCACTAGACCATGTTAGTCACTTTGTTTAGTGCCACCACTTACATCAGTAGGCATACATACAACGACAATTTACCTACACACATAATATTAATGAAGCAGCCACACAAAACATTTAAATACTAAATAACTTAGAATTTTGACAAGCACAAGGTAATCTGAACATTAAATTAATTGGGCAAATATGCAAGTTTTTTTTAGTTACGTAATACTGTAAACCAGTGGGCACATAAGACACTGGCCTGTTCGACTAGATACCAGCTTTTTAATTTATATTGGTATATATAAACATCAAATATGATTGTGGAAAAATAATGAAACATGCAAGACAACACGGATCTATCACAATATACAAAGACATACAAGCTACTTACATACACGCATGCAATATAATCTACGACTCATTTAGGTATTATCAGTGAATGTCACATTTAAAAAAAAAACAGTGACTTCCACTAAGTATACAAGAACACAATATAAAGTCTTCATTTGTTACTAAGTAATGGACTTTGGGACCAATTTTATTCAAAATTTTGTGCATACTAATATATTTAAATTGCAAATTCAAATTTATTTAATTGATAGTTAAAATTGAATTGAATATTAACACATAACGTCACCCTTGTTAGTATTATAGATGACATAGGTTCAATACCTAAATTAAACTAGTCATATTATGTAGGTATACCACAGTAATTCAGTTCACTCAACGATTCAAATTGACAAGCAGAGACTCATGTTTAATAAAAATTCCTTAAAATTTTAACTTTCTTTTATAGAATTTGTACTTGAAACTGTGTTCTGTCTACTTAAAACTACACACATATATACACAGAATACAAAATATATGTTTTTACTTACAGATTCGTGCTGCATTCGATACTCTGATGATGTTTCACCACCCACTTTGTCCTCATTGCTCCTATCCCAGTCAATTTCTTTCTTCAAAGACTGAAAATTGTTGAAATAATCCATAAGTTTTTGTTATTGAACTATAGCAATTTTTCATTATTTGATATTCTTTAACTGCCCCGTTGGCCCAGTGGTCGCAAGTGCGACTGCTGGGCAAGGGGTCTCGGGTTCGATTCCCGGGTCGGGCAAAGTATTACTGGGTTTTTAAAAATCTCAGTAGTAGCACGGAGTCTGGAAATGTGCCCGGTATATGGCAATAGGCTCACCCCCTATTACATGGGACTCGTAACATAAACAGTGAAAAGTGTGTGTGTGTGAAAGGTGTTACATTGTACAGTGGCATTAAGTGCCGTAATGTGCACCTCTGCCTACCCCTTCGGGGATAAAAAGGCGTGATATTATGATATTATATATGATATTCTTTAATTATATTATTGAAATTAATTATTTATTTTATTGAAATTCATTAATAATATTATTCCTGTCCAATTTATGTAATTGCTACTTTCAAAGCTAATTTCATTTTAAAATAAGTTTTCTTTTGAAGAGGTTCTATTTGCTAGTTAAAAAGTTGCTACAATAGTTTTAACCAGTGATTATATTCTACTGCACTATTACTTCTTAATCCTTGAAGGTGTAAGCATTGGTGTAGTGTTCCCAGCAAATGCAAAGTAATCCTTTCTAATTGCTGGTATTTTGAGGCTACATTTGTCATAAGTTATCACTTATAACTTTAGCTGCATTATGCCTATGTCCATTGTGAAACAATTGCATTGTATCATTCTTTCTTTAAATTCATTGTGAATATTATTTTAACTTAAAGTGGTGATACATACCAAGGGTACTTGTTGCACAGGAGGTAGTCCTGAGGGTCCTGCTATAGGTTCACTCCTCGGGCTTGACAGTGATGCGTGGGATGGGTGTGTCAATCCAGGATGAGATATAGTGTTCAGGACACTTAATCGCTGCTCCACTGGAGAATAATGGGCACCCAGCACACTGCTACTGCTATGACTGTTGATAGTCATGTTTAGTCCTGGAAATGTATTGAAAAAAAATGTAAATTATAATAATTTTCCTCTATGGTATAATGATGTAAATTAACCAAATTATTTCCAAAATAGGTGATATTCTGAATGTGGCACTGAACATTTGTAGTTTGTAAAAAAAGGTTGCTAAGTTTGTGTTAAAATTTTGAAAAATTAGAAAACGTTTACCTAATCTCAAGTTATTGCGCCAAAGAACCACATTGATGTTACAAGATTGTCATAATTTTGCTTGACCATATTGATTTTTAAGGTCAATACTTTACTATACATTTTATAAAATATATTTGTAGGGATTTGATCCTTTTGTTTATCAAAAACACCAAAATAAATCACTCACTATAGTGTGGATCGTATGATCGCAAATACGATGACAAACGTCAAAGTCAAATGTCAAAACAAAGTAGTGTTGTTCATACAGATTTTTACATTTGGTTAGTTAATCGATTACGCAATTTACTAACTGATAACATAATTGTTCCAAAATATTGCTGTTGTAATACTTTATTTTTCTAATGTTATGCATTATATCACTATATCGACATTTTTTTAAAGAAATTAGGTAAACATATTTTGATGAAAACAGGGGGTATCAATCATGTTTTATTATTATTTTATGATTAAATAACAAACTGGAACGAGTTACAGTAGGTACGTGTAATTAATAATTTATTATTATTATTTCGTATATACATAGTAATTACAAAATAAATACATTACTAAGACACTACAGTTTTTTCCGAAGGTACCTATAGGTAATAGCTGAGACTTCAGTTTGATTTGAGAAATGAAATTTATAAAATACCTAGTGAGTAGGTATTTAGGTATATGATTGATACGTACCGATATTTTCATTTTGTGCTCCATTTGATCTAATCGACACCGTATCATCTTCTGGTGAGGACGATCGCATGGGCTCATCAGGAGGTTCATCTTTCGGGATTGGAGGGTGTGACAAGGTTGGAGTCTCGCCCGTGATGTCAGACCTAAATCTTCGTACTGACAATAACGGCGATATTCTCGGAGGTGATGCCTCGGGCATTTCTCTATGATCACGGGGTTCCCGAGATTCTCGTAAATCCCTTGGATCCCGAACCTCCCTCAAGTCTCGTGAGATGTCTCTAGAGTCTCTAGATTCTCTATGTTCCCGCAAATCGCGGGGATCCCTTAAATCACGAGGGTCTCTTGTTTCCCTAATATCTCGCGATTCCCTTAAATCACGAGGTTCTCTTTGTTCTCTATCTCTGTGTTCTCTTGATTCTCTCGACTCTCGAGAATCTCTTGAATGACTTTCCCTCACGTGAGTTTCTCTGACGTCACGGGTTTCTTTGTTTTCTCTCTCACGGACTTCCCGTGAGTCTTTCAGTTCCCGCCGTTCTTCTTTGTCCCTGTGATCTCTGCCGTCTACCTTCTCATGTGGTTCTGAACTCTCCCTCGTATCTTGTGGTTGGCACTCTTCCATTGGTTCTTGAACTTTTCTTGTTTCAATGCCGGCTGCGCTTAGGGTAGTCATTTCAGCAAGTCCTTTCACCTAAGTAGAATAAAAAACAAAAATTGGATTTAATTATGAAAAAAAACTGATGTCAGACAGATACATTGTTTAATTTCAAAAATAGGCGCTCTAATGCCTCCAGTAGTAACTGGGTAATTGAAATAGACTTGACCTTAATACTTTATTTACGATGTCAGACAAGTTAAAAAGCAAAAAAAAAAATATTTATACGCACTAGTTCGGAGTAGAGGCTTAAAAAAAGTCATATTAAAAAGATTACCTAGAATAAAAAAAAATATGGTAAATAATATAATTAATTACCTGAAGGCTCTCAGCAGTTTTAAGGAGAGCAGGCAGTTGACAGTACTGGACGTTGACCTCGCCCTTGTACATGAAGTCGACGAGGGTCCTTAGCTCCTCCAACCCCACGTCCTTGAGGATCACGATGGGATGACGCGACGGGTGATCAACAAACAGAGATCGGAAGTACGATGAACACGCAGACAGCACTACCTGAAAATATATTAGTATCTCCGTTATTTTTAAAGGGACTCACAATGGCCCTTTATTTAAATTAAAAGAAGGTTTCATTTCCATTATTGCGATTAATTCTCGCATAGGCAAGTAAAATTTTCAGTACCTACTTAAAATAAATGTCTATCTGAGCATAAAACACTTGAATCATACTTGATTGATTCGTGTCGTGAGCCTCTGCAAACGAGATAATTCGCATTATTTTAGACGTTTTTACTATTACAATTTCTTGATAAGTGTCCTACGAGTTTAAACGAACTGATTCTTATTCTAATGTAGGTACTTCCATTAACTTAAAATTCAATGGATTGGAAAATCTACGCATTAAACCTTTGCTATAGCTTCAGAGAAACGGTTCGTGTTAGAGATGAAAGTGTTTCCTCGTAGCGCCGATTAATGGCTAGTAAATCTTATAACGGATTGACTGCATAATTTCAAAGCTGTCGTGCACTGAGCTGATGTGCTTACGATCAGTCGATTAGGCTCAAATTATGTCTGCATTAGTCGAACCTATCTACATTTGCGAAATGGTTTTTGTTATACTTCTATTTAATCAATATAAGCCATGTAATTTTATGATTATTACTTTTTTGAGGGGAGAAAATCACCCAATGATTTCTCCCGCCTTGGGTGTGGCGAGAGAGAGTTTCAGGCTCTTACTGACTAAAAACCTCTCCGTACCTACTTCTGTTTTGAGCTCGAGCCCCGATAATCGGTTATGATTGTTACTAAACATAGATATTTACGACGAAGAGTAAAGACAAAAATGTTTTGTTTCTTATGCTTCTGTTTTAATTTTTTCGCTAAAGCTAACGTAAATTGTTCTTGAACCTAATCGTCTACTCTTTGGGTCACGTTAGCCTTCATTGTCTAATACCTTTTGATCACAACTTACTTTACCTCTTGTTTACATGATATAAGAGTTATCGTAGTTGGCATTGTTTAACGAGTTTTCCTAATGTGAGACGGGCATGTACCATTAGACAATGAGGTACCTATCTAAAGCAAAGCTTGCCATTAGAGGCAAGGATTGCCTTTAGTGCCTTAAGTTGTATTTAGATACATCATGTAACTGTGTGTTTAGTACTCCTAATCATTTTGATTGTCCATTAGATCACCTGTATTACAATGTATTTTTAGTAGATAATAAAATATTAATAACTAACAACTTCCTCTGCCTATTACGAAACAAAAGATGTCGAACGAATTCGGCAAACGAGTTCGTGATCCTACAAAATAATTACAATGCAATAAATATTAATTTAATCCTAATGTTAATGCAGTGTATTGCATTGTCAGTATCCTGTTTATCGTGTCATGCATAACGCGGTTTGTTAGAAGGCTTATTTGAATAATATTGTTAGGTCATGTCATGAACAAATTTTCCTTGATTACTTTTTGTAGGAAACAAAACAAGGTATCAGATATAGTCAAACAAACAGCCAAGCTGAAGTGGCAATGGGCGGAACATGTAGCCCGCAAACACAACTCGTGGTGCAAGGATCTGCTGGAGTGGAGACCGTGGGACACAGACGACCTGTTGGTAGACCGCAGATAAGATGGAAAGATGACATCAAAGAGGTGGTGGTACAAAATTGGATACTAACAGCCCAGAACAGAACTAAGTGGAAAGATTTGAAGGAGGCCTACACCAAATTGGTTGAAAAAGGCTTAGCTTAAAATTACATTAGTAGATATGCGCCCCCTAATAGATATCCCCACGTCATACTGATACAAATTGACTTTCTTCCCTTTCAACTACTCATTGGCTACTGGACATTCCGGCTAATAAATTAATGCGTGAGTAATCAACGAAGGCATAGCGATAATAATGTAAATGCATCTTAAAAGTGCTGATTAACAATAGGCAAGAACAAAGTAATGTAATGAGGTGTAACGAGAGGTTTCTACACGTGCCAAGTTGAACTAACATTATACTTGTATGGAATCTCTATCGTTCACGCAGCGTGTCGGTCTGGGCGCGTGTAAAAGAGGTGAAATTTGCTTACCAGGCCCCCTTTCTTGGGCGCCAATGAATCTAAAAGCCGGTTTCACAAATCACCCCTTTTTGAAAATCATACAATGAATTATCCCGCTCGGGCGAGGTGAGAGGGAGTGACAGACTCTTACTGACTGAATTCCACCCCGTTCATATTCCTGCTCTTCGAACCGTGCCCCGGCAATCTGATAAACTGTCATTTAACTAAAAGAGACTTAGCGTGAGGAACTAAACTAACCAACTAACTTAACCTTTTACTTTTGTACTGTTAAGTGCCACTTAAAGGTAGGTGAAAACTAAAATGATGTTATCTAAGTGTCACCTATCTTAACTTCGGGGTTTCTCTAAATTTTTGGAGAGGTTGGTGAAAGAGGTCATAACTTTCAGATCCCAGATCCAATTAACGGATCTGACTCTGAAAGACTCTCAAGGGCCAAGTCATGATAGCTATGAAAAGAAAATGAGGCTTTATTCTTTAAGTGACTTTGGGCTCCAGACCGTTGGTTTTTGGGCACCTTAACTCGTCGAGTACCGTCATTATAGACACAATTATAGAATAATAGGTTGCAGTCACCGGCGACCGCTTGGTGTTTGACAGTTTAAATAATCCGGTCCTGTATTGTGAGAGTGCGTGAAATTCCATGTTCTTCATGTTATTATGTTTACAGGTCATGAAGGGTATCAGATAATTAATGCCAAGGATTATCTTTTTAGTCATATCACTTTTACCTATAATAATTTTAATATTGTTAAAATTTTATTGTGTAATACTGTAACCCTCCTTCCTTTTACACTTTGCTCATGGATGATTACTTTTACTCTCAAAATATCTAACTTATTCAAAAAAGTATATTGTCATTTGTAAGTAGAATAAATAAGTTTATAAATTAATTTATTAGGCGAATGTGAGTACCAATATAAACCAGATTTGGTATACTGGTGCAAAAAATTGTGTAACACTGTACTGAAATGCAATCATTACATATTATAAAACAAAGTCGCTATCCGCCGTCTGTCTGTCCCTATGTATGCTTAGATCTTTAAAGCCACGCAACAGATTTTGAAGTGGTTTTTATAATAGAGTGATTTTTAACGAAGGTTTATATGTTTAAAACATGCATAAGTATTGCACCCGTGCAAAGCCGGGGCGGGTCGCTAGTAATAAATAAATAATAAAATAATGATAGCTGTTTCGAAATGCTACACAAAGTATCTAGTATCATAATTCTTTGAAGAAAAATTTTGCCTTATCAGGGCTGCAGGGAACCGCAAAGGTATGGTTGTTTGTCAGTGCGCTAAAAGTCTGACACCACATTTGATTATTGTCTCCCTCTAAAAAAAACTTGATAACCTATTCTAAGTCAAAGTCAAAATCATTTATTTCAATTAGACCAGAAAGGCACTTTTGAACGTCAACTAAAAAAAATCAAGTGAAGCTATTTGCTCATTCCAAGGTGCAGATTCCTATGGAGAAGAACGAGCAAGAAACTCCATAGGTTACTTTTTTACAATCAGGTTCACAATACAATTCTCTAGTTACATAGTTTTGCTGTTGTTCTCTGAAACATGCCCAACAAAACTAGAATGACAACAATACGAATCCTAATCCGTGGAGCTCTAAAACTTAATACATACTAAGCTACTATAAAAAAAACTAACTTAATCTAGTACGTCAATAATTTTTTGATAGATTCCTTTTTGAAATTATTGTAAGTGATTTATACCTTGTGAGCCCTAATGGATGCACCCTCGGAGCAGGCAAGCGTGACGTCGACCAGGCTCTCGTCGTGCAGCAACTGGCTGAATACTCCCAGCAGGTTGCTCTGATGATTGTTCCACCTTAGGCAATAGTGCTCACTTCCCATGTCTGAGCTAGCTCCCGCCGCTGTAAGATATTAATTAACAGTTTAATTCTTAATTCTAAATTATTATTAGGATTCTGTCTTTCATCATCTAAATTATCATCATCATCATCATAATCAACTCCTTCTTATCCACTTCTGGATATATGCCCCTTCAATAACACGCCACCGAGCTCGATCTTCAAGCTCTTCGGATCCAACTATATCACTTTAAACTGTCAAACACCAAGCGGTCACCGGTGACCGCAACCTATTGTTCTATAATTGTGTCTATTGATCGCCATTTGGTGTTTGACAGTTTAATAACACTTTCTATGATTTAGTAAAAAACTTGGTAAGATTAGATACCAACACTAGGTAGGTACAGCTTTGGAGGCTCCGGAGCAGGTCTCCTTTCGAGGACCCGATGCCTCCATACTGCTGTTGAGGGTGGCAGCCGAGGTGGTTTTAGTGAGGTATAAATCCCACACTCCCTAGTTTTTTATCCCCAAAAAGGCTAGGCGCCTTTTAAAGGTCTCGAAAAAAGGAAGGTACAGCTTAGCTGTGACCTATTCGGTTTTGCAAAAGAACGTACCTACTCGAAAACAATCACCACTAAAACTCGCCACTGCTCGTAAGTATCTACCAATCAAGTAAGAAGATAACACTCGATCAATGTAAAAATTTAAAAGGAGGAATGGTGCCTATGAACCAGGTAGGTTACCAAAATCTCATGATAACCATATAACCTAAAAAGGTAGGTAAGCGGAGGAAGTAATTCGAAACCATTTAATTTAGTATAAAAAAGACCTAGCAAATAAGTCTTCTACCATAACATAACATCACGCCTTTTATCCACGAAGGGGTAGGCAGAGGTGCGTATTATGCCACTGTACAATTTAACACCCACTTTTCACTATTAATGTTATGAGTCCCATGTAATAGAGGGTGAGCTTATTGCCATATACCGGACACAATTCCAGGCCCCGTGCTACTATTTTTTAAAAACCTAGTAATTATTTGCCCGACCCGAGAATCGAACCCGAGTCGCTCTCGCGACCACTCGGCCAACGAGGCAGTCTTCTACCACACACGCATATTTCATTTTCCAAAACACCAGCAATTTTATTGACATTCGTCTAATGAAAATGACCTACACCAACATTAAGATACTAAGTAGCACTCCCGAAAAGTCCACACTAAGATTGTCAACCAAAACAAATAAAATAATCTCGAAATATTTCGCATCCGCTTCAGAACACAGATAAATGTGAATTTAAAAAAAACATCACGTGGATGAGTCTATGTATGGCAATGATAACAGATTGAAGCATGCACATAAGTATGCTGTGTACCTATGTATATAATCTTCATATACACTAAAATCTGTACCTACATGTCGTTAAGCTAACCTCCGCTACACTTCATAGCGGTGAATAAAAATAATTGCGGTAACACGGGTTTTTACAGCTTATTATTTGCTAATGCACAAAACATGTGCTTCAAGTGTGTCGTTAGGTTCTAAGTGCTTGCTAAATTTTAAATTTAGAAGATGTTATTTTTAAACATAAATAAGTATCCTCATATTTGTACGTCACTGCCAAAGTAAAAAGTTTGCATTACTCTCGTTGCATAGTCCCAGCCCTAGTGCAATTGGTACTTAGGTAGTTAGTACTCATAGTTATCGTTACACGTGGATATTTACGTCTGCTACAGACTTAGCCGTTATCAATTTTAAAGGCCTATTTTCAACACCAGTCACGACTGATTATTCATTTACCGCTTATTAACTTATACATACAATACACCAACACATACATGTTAAATCATCCACGAACTAACATATAAATACCGACAAAAGGCATTGTGTCTAGGCATAGTACTAATTTATATGTGAACATAAACTGTTCAGTCTGCGACCTCGGAAACATCATGGAATAATATAAATTAATTTTGTTGCAAACAGCCTTGAAAGGTGCTTTAAAATATTGCATTAATATCACAATCGATAAAATCCTTTGAGAAGATTAATATCATCTGAAAATCGCTTTCACTTTGATTGATTGTCATGTTTTTCGGAATATTCTGAATAAAATATAGGTACAGTTTACCTTAGCGGGCAACGTAATGCACAGTAGCAGATAGATGAACTTGACATTGAATTTCCTGTTGCACCCGCCGCTAATTACATGAACCTACCTACCCCGCGAGCAGCAGCCGGAACACTCAGATTTGCTAATAAGTACAAAACGCCACTTATATATTATTTTTTATTCTGTGATTACTGCTTCGCGCCTACATGCGCGAAGATAAATATAGCTGCGAGTGTACCTAGTAGTTAAACGTAGGTGTTGTGCGCACACGCGTGCGGCCGCGACGCAGTCAAGATCAAGGGCGCACGATTGCGCAAGAGTTGGCGGTCGCACCGCACTGCAACTCGGTGTGATGTCATCGGTCCGTCTGTCTCCCCCCACTCCCTCGCTTCTCGCATCACACGCTCGTTGTAAAGGCCGCGGACGCGGAACATTCTATTTTAAATTTTTGACCGTACGTTTTGTGTTTAGATCTTTTTTTGCAAAATTCTAAGTCCTTTTCCCATCGCTCCCATCAGTTCTCAGAAGACGTCATATCATTGTTCTAGACTTTTTAAATCGCTATACATTATAAGGCACAGGCATGCTGTATTGATGCTATCTTGAACAATTTGAAGTAATTTTCAGGACAGATAAACTGCACCTTATTCTATGTCACTTCCTACTAATATTTCTTTGTAATATCTAAATGGCTTAAAGCTGAATAAAGATAAGTACAGACCTACCACAAACTACCTAAATAAGTTTATGGAATTTTTCATTTATCTAGGCTTTAGGCATCTTTATGATGATAATACATAACTCCAATCTATCACATTATCAGGACATTTTGATGATATAAACGGCTCTGCAATCTTGTGACCTTCCTAAAATGCACTTGATAAAAATGCAACAGATTACTGATAACTTCTGCGTAGCGGAGTTTTGATGTTATCGCTTTAGATACAATCGACTAATGGCACAAATTCGTGCGTTCTGTTCATAAATTATATCAAAGTAAAAATCTAGGAAACCCAATCTAGAATCTAGTTAAATACTATGTCGTTTTTTATCGGCTTTGCTTTACTGGTTAAAATCAGTATGTTGATGATATAAAACATGAAATTGTGTAGACTCTTGTGACGAAGATAGGAATAGTGTAAAAATGAAATATGACAAAGAAATATAGGTATTATGATTTATACTTTTAAACATCTTAAAATGAGCTGTTTATTTCGCAGTAAACCTGTCATGAAGTAACAAATTATCAAAGTAACAAGATAATATCATGCCCGAGGAGAAGTTGTTTAGTTAACTGTATTAATTTAGGTTAAACTGAATGTTACCCTGAGGAACTCAAGGAGGTCTTAATAGAGAATTTAAAAATCAAAAACACTTTTAGTTTTGCCCGTAACCTACTTGGCGATTCCTTCTTTTAACCGCTTGAATATTGAATAAACTTTGAAGTTTTTACACAAATAAACAATATTCTTTACTAAAACTTATAAAGAAATGCGCTTTAAAAAACAAGGATTTCTATTGAAAATAAAATAAAACAATAATGTCTAATCGTATAAGACATTTTACTCGATGCACCTGGCCCCATACACAAGTTCAGTCAGATAGCAATTAGCTGTATATTCAATGAACAAATAATTTTTACCACCACCATAATAGTTAATGATTATAATTAGTAGTGGATTATCTATAAAATACTTATTTATTTATATGTATTTTTATTTTATTATTGTTGTTTATTAAAGGGTTTTATTTTATTTAAGGGTTCTGTTCGAATATGGAACTTACCAATTCATTGGAGGTTTTATATAAGTTTATTTATCATGGGGTCCTTTATTTAAGTGTAATAGTGATTAAAGATTTGGTTTTAGCTTCCTGATTGTGTTTTGCCTGACTGTATAAGAAATTGATCTATGTTCTGTTATTTGGAGCTCAAAACACTCTTGATTGATAAATTTTGGATGTAAAACTATATGTACAGGTCCAAGTTACCGTGTTGTCCAGGGCAAACTAAATTGATCTGATCCCTGATAAGATTAATGGGTATTTAAATAAGTCTTCAAATAAAATCCCCTAGATATGTGTAATTAGGACTATTTTTAATATCGACACTGCATTAAATGATTATAATCTTCAACCTCTAGCTGTCTTTAGCATTGGACTGAATTTGAGGACATCTGGGCTCAAAAGTAATAGAGGCAACATAGGCTACAACAAATTCTTTAGCAGTTAAAAAGTAGTACAACTAAATAATATAATAATCATTCCCATTTCATATTTGTGCATACTAACTTAACACAACTGATATAATATATTGATTGAATTGATATATATACATTTTTTTAAGGGTGGAAAATCATCGAATGACTGCTTTCGCCTGGGTGAGGCGAAAGGGAGTGTCAGACTCTTACTGACTAAAAACCACCCCATATTCCTTCTCCTGCACGTCGAGCCGGAGCCCCGGTTACCCGTTAGGTTCTCCGCGACATATAATAATATTATAATGATAATGATAGGCCTAACAGCGTACGCACACATTTTTATGTACATACAATGACAATAAAACATATACCTAACCTAACCTAACTTCTCAATTCGCGTCCAATTGCCGTCTCATCCACTTACTAGTCAATACGCCTAAACACACACTAACAATATTAACATTATGCGAATTCAAATTGTATCAAATAATATTATGTCAACGCCTAACAAAGGACGAAAAGCATTACGCAAATAATCCCTATATGAAAAGTATATTTATAAAGTTTTACTCGGAAACAATAAATAGGTACTAATAATAATAATAAAATCGTTTTTAAAACGAAACAAAAAATATAAGTCGTCGATATCCAATAGGAAGCAAGATTAGCGCTTAGCTGAAATGCTAGCACACATTTGTAGACCTAACTAGGTATAGTTGTGACCTTCGCCGCACAATAGACTAGCTAACATGT